TTTAAGAAAAAGGAGGTAAACCTTTGAAAGCTGAGGAGTACTGCATAACTCTTACAAAAATAAAAATAATAATAATGATGCTGCAAAGCCATCCTCACTATTAGTTCCTCTAGTGAGTACAGAGAGACTCTCTAGAAGTCAGACCCAAAAGGGTCCCAGCAAGGTAACTTCTCTTTGCTTAAACTGCGAGTGCACTTCTTGCCTTTCCTGTTACTAAACAAGTTATCAGCAACCTTCTTAGGCACCCAGGGTACACATCAGCCACAGCCAGAATAACAAAAATAACCTTATTTCAACAGTTTGCCACCCTTCAGCACACCCCATCCTATACTAGGTTATACTCGTGGCAATTTATTCTGACACTAATCAATCTCAGATTTTTATCAGGTATTGGCTTTGGGAAGAGAAGACAGTTCCAGCTGCCAAGGAAACATTCAATAAAATCTTGCAGCAGATACTTGCCTCAAGTTACACAGAAAGCATCATGCTGTGCCATCCCTATTTTACCTGTTGACAGAAAAGTAACCCCAGAGGAGAAAATCTCAGACTAGGTCAGCAACACAAATCTGATGTATCAAAAGGGATAAAAACCAATTAACACAGCAAGGAAGCATGTAGGTATAATCCTATCTGCTAGTGAAACAGATGTGCCAGACTGTGATACCTGAGGCAAGTGCAGGTAGTGGTTGTCATCAGAACACACCCAGTCTTACCTACCAACCCATTTCCAGAGATCCCAGGTGTTAATTAGTAGGACTACCACAAGCAGGCAGTTAAATTTTTATGATGAAGCTTCTGGCACATCAGTAAGATGGAATTTTTTTGTGTTAAAAAACATCAGCCTAGTAAAAAAAATTCAAATGGGCTTCAGCTTCGATTTTCAGATGATCCTTCTCAGAACAGTCTTGCAAAATTGAGTAGCATTTACGTAGGCATGGGAAGGGAATCCTGTGAAAATAGCAGATGTCCTCTGTCCCACGTAAGAGCTGGAACTAAGCTGATTGAGTTCCACAAACAACTCCTTCAGCTAGTTATTAGAAAGGCTGCACTCTGCGGATAGAGCACTGCAGTTCTGCCTGCCAGTACTTTACAGAGGGAACAGAGTGATCAGTGGGTGTAAGCCAGGGGTCTCCTCTGAGTGACTGCAGACTCAAGGAACACATTTCCACAAGTGATAAACATAATTACCAAACCCCTCCAGGTGCTCACTTGAATACAAATATGGCTCACATGCAATGTTTTAAAGCTGTTTTTTGTGGAAACCTTTGGACAGGTTCCTCATGTAGGCACAAGAAAGAAATAAAGTCTCTATAATTAAGCCCAAGCACACCACAAACACATTTTACAGATGTTCCTAATGCAAATATTTAGGATCACTACTAACCCCCCCAAAAAAGCGCAGCTCACTAGAAAACCCCTGCTAATCAAACACTGCTTTATTTACAGACAATTCAACAAATGGGTACATTAGTTCAACTTCCATGTCTGCACACAGGGGGTCTTTACACAGCAGAGCAGAAAAGCAGGACTCATTCATACATGTATAGACTGATGACTGTATGGAATTGTACAATTAGGTACAGGAGAGTTCAAATTAAATATTTCAACCATCAATGTCAGTAAGACAGCTACATGTTACTTTAAGCAAAAATAAGCTAAAGCTAGAGCTAAATCTGGTCTCACAGATAAGATTGTGGACTATGTGATTGTGTACAGATGTTAACAAAAGCTAAAGTCAGACCTAAGTTCTGTTCAAAAGGTCAGCCTGCGTAATGGATGACAATTTCTGTGACTTCTACTACACACCTTTTAGATTCATAAGAAACATTTCAAATCAATGAAATCAATTGAAAGTTATTTTTTTTCTTCCATATTCAGGCATCTCTGCCCAGGCATCAGTAAAAAACAAGTAACTGCCAATACAGCCACAATCAAATCACCTCAGGCAAGTACAAACTCAGGCTAAAATGGTCTGTCTACTAAATATTAGTTGTGTGTTTCTAATGAAAAGTTTTCCCTGTATCCAAAGAGAGAAGAAAGAAATACAAGAATACAAGCTCAATGTACAGCTTTGAAGAATGGACCTGTATTTATTATAGATCCATATGAAGCTTCTCTAGAAGCTGCTTCAATTTGGCTGTTTGTTCTGTAAATGCAGATGCTAACACAACTTTAGACCAACATTTAAAAATTCTTCATCAAGAATGTCTTCTTTAGAGGGTAACAGCAATATTGAACAAGGAGGAAGCGAGATAATCTTCGAAACTCAATGCATCACACAGAAATACAAAGAAGTCAAATCCAGATATCAAGTCCACTGTTTTCTAGACAACTCACTTTGAAATCAACCTCCAATGCATTTGCCAGCTACAGAAAGAAGCCAGAACTCCGGTGTGCCTAAGAGGAGTTCTGTCATACAACAGCAGACAAGGTTTTGTCAGAAACATTTATTAAACAGAAGTTACCAACGTATATGTAGACAAGTTAAGAGCCCCTCTAATATAAAAAAGCATACTGGTCAAGGCCAAAATTATCTTCGCTTCTGGAAGATGTTGCCACGACCCATACCACGGCCTCTTCCTCTTGCAGCCACTGAAGAAAGAAAACATCAGGGATGACATGAATTTGATGCAACGTTGTATTTATCTCAACAACTGACAAACCAAATAGAAATAACTCTCAGTCTCTTCCTTACAAGCACAGAAGCTAAGCTATATTATGAGGTTCAGGAAGTGATAAAATAAGCAGAAGTTTTCTGTGAAAACAACTGTAACCAACAGCTGCACAGCTTTGCTATTTATAACAGAGTATGCATTAAGAGCAAAGAAATATTAACACACTTTTGTTCTCATTCTAATCTGCATGAATTTGTAGCCAGTGAGATTTAAGAACTCCTGCTCTTTATGAAATTTGGGACAGAACTCACTATGTTTTGTCAGATGTTACTTCCCCACACATCCTTACTGCACTTGCTAGAGTTTACCAAGGGCTTCACAGCCCATGATTATTTCTCTATCTTGCTATAATGAGACTGTTCACATGAAAACGGTATGAAAGACAATGAATTGTAGAATGGCTAACAGTTACTGATTCAAAATTCCTTAAGTATCAACCTAGTATTTTTATATATTCTTTTAAAGAATAAGAACACCTAGACCCTTCCTTGGCTAGTCCAAACAGCCAGCAGCCATATTTACCAGAAAACCAAAGCTAAAGTTTTATCTAACTCTAGCAAGGCCACTTACTATTCCTGAACCATATGCAGTATCAGTATTTTGCATCAAGCAGTCTGAGTCTTGACTGCCACCACTCATCCAGCTTCTTACAGCTCATGTTTGCTTAGCATTAGGGATGAAAACTTCCCAGTTCCTATATAGCAACACAGGGAGGTAAGGAGGGAACACCAGATCACAAACACATTGTACCCACCCTGAGCTTTGAGAATAGCTGCTTTTCCTCGGCCAGCTCCAGAACCCTGGTTCTTATTCTTCATGCTCTTTAGCATAGGAGCATTCTTCAACATATCAGGTAAAATTAGAAACCGTATCTTGCTGCCTCTGATGTACACCTGCTCAAGCTGAGCCACTCGCCCATCTCTGTATGTCACCGTTATGTTGGACATCTGGAAAGTAAAGATCAGACAGTGGTCTCAAAGGCCTTATACATAGTTTCAGACTCCCACTACTACTGCTTGTAGAATATACAACCAGAATTCAAGTAACAAACTCAAAGCCATGTAAAGCACACTGCCTTCTCAACTGTTGTTGTGATACAAGGCATCTATGACCATTTAAACATACTCTTAAGCCTGCTATAAATTTAAGTAAACTCACTATTTTCTCCTTCTCCCCACTTGCTTAATTAGTATTATTAGTTTTGTTTTCTTATTCAAACAGCTTTAATAAAGTTTTACAAGTCCCAGCTATTAAGGAAATATTTTTATTTCAACTATAACTTGTATGAAGTCAATCAAAATTAAGCCTCTTGCAACGCCTTAAAGTAATCTGCATTAAGCACAGCCCTAAGCTCATTAATCATAGAACGGCCTGGGTTGAAAAGGACCACAATGATCATTGAGTTTCAACCCTCTGCTACATGCAGGGTCGCCAACCACCAGACCAGGCTTATTTATTATTAAGTTGAGAGACAATAAGCAAAGAACTCCTGCAGAAAAGGTGTTTGCAGAGGAAAATCTTAAGAACCAGGAACAGGAATTCCCAATTCTGTTCTCTTTGGCGTGCTCAATAATCTGGAATTCACTTCATTACTGTAAGTGCATAGAGCAGACGGGTTTTATTTATCCTAAGACTAAAACCAAAGGTCTTTAAATCACACTATCAGTCGGCTGGGTGTAACTGTTTCCAAAATTAGATGAGATGAACTTCTTTTCATCCATCTTGAGCCGCACACCTGACAATTCATGTTGTCTTCAGCTTCAATGAGCTTCCCACGGTACACCTCCCCGGTGTTGGTCTCACAGGTCACAATGTGGCCCTCTGCCTCGTGCAGGACTTTAATGGGCACTCCGATCGACATGGCTGCAGCTCTGCGGCTCTACTCCTGAAATAAGGAGAAAAAAATAAAAGCGAAAAAAGGAAACAACCTACGAGTTGTTTTGCAGCTCGGCTTTGACTACAGGTGATGACTTTCTCTCTTGAACGAAAACCTCACTGCTTTCACAATACGCAGCCGCACAGCCGCAGCCCTCAGTGCTCCGCCTGACAAAACGCAGCGCTCCCCACAAGCGGCCTCCACGCGCATCCCTCGGCCTGCCCCGAGGCCCGGACAGGCGGGAAGGCTGAGAGCAGCCCACCCCCTCAGTTCGCCGCTACCGCGCTCGAAGCTCTGCCCACCGCCCTCAGAAGCTGAGGGCACACAGCCAACCCCCACTGCGAGCCCCGCACCGACACTCACCTCCCGCCAACCGCCCGGAGCCGCACACGCACCCTAATGGCCTCCGCCTTCCCGCCGTGCACCGCGCCCCGGAAGCGGAAGTACAGCGGCGCCGGTCCACTTCCGTTCCCGCCCCTCCAGGCCGCGGCGCCTCGGCACGATGGTTCCGCCGCACTCTTGGCCCTGCCGAGAGCAGCTCCCTCCCTCCCAGCTCCGAGCGGCCGCCCCGGCGCCCGCCCTCTCCGCAGCCGGGAGGAGCCAGCGCCGCACCAGGGCATGCCGCTGCCCCGGGCCCGGCGGGGCGGGCAGTGAGCGGGCGGCCGCCGACATGAGGAGCCCCCGGGAGCCGGGGGAGCCCCCTCCGCAGGCAGGTCAGTGCAGCTGCGGCCCGGGGAGCGCGGAGCCTCGGCTGGGGGGCGGCCTGAGAGCGCTCCGCCTTGTTTACAGCCGAGCGTCGGGCCGTGGCGTACGGAGCTGACAGCTCTGCGGGGGGCGGGGATGGGAGCCGGGCAGCTCGGCCTGGCTGTTACCTTCGGAGCCAGCGCGTGTGGAGGACAGGAACCGAGGCTGTGAGTTGTGGAGGTGTCGCAGGGACCTGGATGGTCACCGGCTGGTAACACACCGCCAGTGCTTACAGACCTGTGAGGTGGGGAAGTTCTTTACTGTGAGAGTGGTGAGGTGCTGGAGCAGCTGCCCAGAGAGGCTGTGGATGCCCCGTCCATCCCTGGAGGTGTTCAAAGCCAGTTGGATGGGGCCCTGGGCAGCCTGGGCTGGTATGAAATGGGGAGGTTGGTGGCCATGCCCTGTGGTGGGGGGATTGAGGATTCATGATCCTTGAGATCCCTTCCAACCCGGGCCATTCTGTGATTCTGTGTGACCTGCTTCAAGCGGGATTTGGGGGTCTTTTTTTTCTTTGGGAGACTGAAGTATAATCGAAGTTGCTAACAAATATTGAGTACACCAATGGGTGTGCCAGTTTTCAAAGTTATGATTAAACCTGGTGGCATGATTGAGAAAATGCACTGCGTTGGCTTGTTGCTGCAGTAAGGCATAACTCTGTGAGAAAACAATTTAAAATTGCAAAACATTATCCATAAAGTTTTACAAATAAAGCTGCATTGAAACTACACCAGCCCCCCAGGATGTTGAATGCTTTTTATCCCTCTCCAGAAGCGTAGCTGACTTTGCTTTAGCGAAGGTTTCCAAGGGTCTGTTCAAGATTGAAGGAAAAGTCATTAAGAAAAGCCTTTTATGATTAACTCACTTGGATTGACTTTGAAGTTGCAAAGCCAAGCGGAAACACTTCAGTCCATCAAGCAATCCGGGCTTTTCTGAAACTGAAACCACCACAACCACCTATAAAGGAACTATGAGGGATGAATTACTGGTATTGCAGAACTTCTTGATAGAGATTGGGTCTTGTCTCTCTTCCTTTGCCCTTTTATGAAAGGCCAAATGGTGTCATTTGTGATCTGCCTTATCTGAAAAAATTACTCACAATAAGGAAAAAAACATAGCAGTAGAAGAGGCTGAAATCCATAAGGCTTGTAAGAAATCACTGCCTAAAGATCATGGCTGTGTCTGTTTTCTACCCATTTGACCAATGACTTTTTGTGGCATAGAATACAGAGCTGAGAACAAGCAGACTTGGAATGGTGAAGTACAGAAAAACATTCCCGTATAATGACTGACAGCTTTTACATTTTACTCACTTGGGGTGTTTTCACTGCAGTTGAATGTGTGCAGCTGAAAGTGCCCATCATTCAGCAGCTGTACCACTGGGACTGCGGGCTGGCCTGCTCCAGGATGGTGCTACAGTAAGTGCTGTTTTCATTGGAAGGGGTGGGAAATCCCAACCCGTGGGAGAGGGTGTAAGGAAGCAATGTCCAGGGAGATGAGGTATATTGGAGCAGCTCTGAATTTTGCTTAGCCTTACAAGAGCACATATCCCTGAATACCCTTGGAGAATTACTGCTGCCAGAGCCCAGCACAGCAATCCAGAAGAAAGGGAAAAGACAAGCTAAGACAACCTTAAGACCTTTTGAATAATTGTTTTGATTGATCAGCACTGAGCTAACAATTAAGCAGTTTGGCATGCTTAAGCTGATAAGAAGTTATCCCTCGTTCCTGTTGTTACAATTCAGAACTGGTATTTGCCACAGCAAGTCACATAATTTCTTTCTGTATCATTATGCAATGGGCAGGTTTATCCTAGTTTCTGAATATACTGTCTCTGTCCTGCTGAGCCCCCAGCCTGTGGAGTGAATGGTTTTTGTTCCAGGAGTGGTTTCAACTTCACAACTATGCACTATATTGCCATCTTTTTTTTTTTTTCTTCTTCTTTTTTTGAACCTGTAGCTGTCCTGCTGAACTCCTATTTCCTTCCACAGAGGAACATGAGCTTAGGTGCAGGAGAAATACCTATTTAGATGTCCACTTAGTAGATATGAAGGAGAAGATTTTCATTTCTCTCCATCCCTTCTGCCAAGACGTTAGTCCGTGTGCTGGTAATTCCCATCTTGACTTCTGTAACCTCTGCCTCTTCATTCCCTTTAACCTCTTTGCCACACCAGTCTGTCCAAAACTCAACATTCAAGATTAATCTTCTCACCTTGCCAATCTGACCTTGTTTGCCCTGCTTCCTCAATTCCACATTGTGGTTTTTTTTCTTCATTTAATTCTATTTGTTTTGACCTCCAGAACTCTCTGTAACTGCCCTTCCCCACCCCTTTGCAACCTATCCCAAGCTTTCTTCAGACTTCATCTCCCCCTTACTGCCTTTTGTGTCATCAGTGACTAAGCAAGCTTCCTTCGAATATTTATCAACTTCCTTTACAGTTCCTCCTTTTGAAATTCATCTGTTGTGAAGCAGCTTTTAGTCTTTAATGCTCCCTTCTGCATTTGCTCTATTAACCTTGTATATGTAGATTGTAAACCCTTCAGGATAGCTCTATACTTGCTCAGTATATCTTGCCTATTGTCCAGCATCCTGTATGCTTTTAGCACTACAAAGCAGTTGAGATACCTGTATATTTCCAATAAGAAAAGTCAGAAATAAATTCATTTATGTATTCTCTGCTTCCCTCCCTTCACTTTGTGGCTCTTTTGTGGGTTGTTTAATGATTATTTCTTAGCCAAGCCCATTGTATCAGTTTTTCTGTCCCGTGGATGTGGAGGTTTGGGCTACAGCACATGCTGTGCTTCTCCTAAGACCTGTGCTTCCCTTCCCCTACTTTTACTAATACCATAGGTACCTGGATCATTTGGACAATGATGAATTTCAGAAAGCCATCCAAGAGCTCCGGTTAACAAAGAGTATCTGGACTATTGACCTGGCCTACCTAATGCGGCACTTTGGTGTTAAGCATAAATTTTGCACCCAGACACTTGGAGTGGACAAGGGCTACAAAAATCAGGTTAGTATTTTCATCTACTGGGAAATGGTAGGCAGTTTTAAAAGGTACCCCTATGTATCATGCTAAAGTGCCTCTGCTGTCTTACTGCCAGTTAGCCATAGCTCCTGGAAACAAGGTTTGCCCGCTGCCCAAACTTGTATAGATTTCAAAGCAGAATCTAGATATGTTCCCATCTTTTTTTACATCTTTGATTCCATAATATAAAGGTTTTTTTTGTTTTGTTTTTTGTTTTAAAAAGTTTTCATGTAGCATTCACGACAAGTTACAGATTATTCAACAGCCTTGGAGACTGAAGCCCTCTACCTGCCTACAGAACAGGCACAGCCTGGGCAGCAGCAGTGCTAGCTTCCAACTTTCCCCACCACCATGACTCAGCCCAGACCTGGAGGAACCACCTCTAGAGGTGAGAGACCAGCTCAGCCTCTGTGTCTGTGAGAGCTTGGCCTCTTCCAAGTTTGCTAGTGAGCACCTACAGCAGCAGTAGCTTTTGTGATGTAGCCTTCTGCCCAGTACAAACCAGAGAGACTTCCTTCATTTTGGCAGCTGAATAGCCACTGCTTGGAAATTACAATAATAAGTGACAAGGAATGAAATTAAAGTGATATTTTAGAGCAAGAATTCTTATCTTATTAGCAGTGAAACTGAGGGAGAGAGAGCTTTTATCCCCTCATCAAAAACGTGTACAGGGCCTTGCTAGCAGAGATTGTAAATGGTAAATTACCTAAGGTGAACATCATTCCAGTTCACAGTTTCTGTTGTCTCCAGTCATTTTACAGGAAGCACTTTGACACAGAAGAGAATCGAGTAAATCAGCTCTTTGCACAAGCCAAAGCCTCCAAGGTGCTGGTGGAGAAGTGGTAAGCTTATTGTTCTCTCCTTTCTTGTTGGAGACTCTGAGTCTCTTGTTAATCACTGAGCTTAACTGGTAAAAGACAGACTGAAATGAGACCTTCAGCCTTTTTGTGAATTAGTCTTTTTATTAAATGTCTTGAAAGAATGGACATAAAGACTTAACAGTGAAGTCTGAGGAGCAATAATGACAACAGAGTGATTTGAAAATGCTGATGGGAGTTGACTATTACGTATTGAATTTGATTTTCCATTAACATTATCCTGTAGGGAATGCTTTCAATGCTTTAATTGGCCATTCTTAAGTACCACTGTAATATGAATTAAGGAAAATGCTATGTGGACACACAACCCATTGCTCCTAGAGCTATGCAGAGAGTATAGGTCTCTGTTCCTAGACAGAAGCACAAAGAAAAAGATGGCATATGAGCCTTTGCCAAGGGGAGGATGAAATAAGGAACCTCAGTGAAAGAACTGTAAACCCAGGAGAGGACAAAAAATTGTAGAACTGTTTCACAGCTGAGAGTGACACTCTAGATGGGAAATAATTAAGTGTCCATGGTTAGCCTGAGTTGTATCCCTTTTTGTAGTGAAGCTGGATTTAGATCTCTGTTGTCAAAGTGGGATGAATGATTAAGAAAAGGAAAGAGGGTACAGGATAGTCTGTAGGGCATTATTTGAATGCTGCAATGCAATAGTTAAGTGTTCTTTTTCACATACACAGAGTCTGTATGGCACCACCTGTTAACTAAAGCTGCATCAACAGAGAAGGGACAGTCAGTCCATCTTGCTTTCAAGGATCATGTCCTTGATCAAGGCAGGGACAGAGTGAATATCTACCTGTGCAGTACTGAGTTTGGGGCATCAAAGAGGAGAAACAACATTGGAAAGATTAAAAAGCACAAGTTCAGTCGTGCATAACACACAGCCCTATGTCTGAAACACATCAAAGAGATGAGTTCTGATGCATCTGGAATACACAGTGAAGGACAGCTTTTAATAGACGAGATTTTAAGGTTATGATTCATTAATACTTGTTCTCTGTAGGAGGTGCTATAGAAACGTACCCTCAAAAGAACCAGGTAGTGCAAACTATCTGCACAATATGCATATTTGTGACAGACACAAATTTGGGCATGTATTAAGTTAGCATACAGTCTTTAACCATCAAGTTCTAATGGCAGGATGGAACACTTCACTTAAGACTTTCCCTCAAGTCTCTCAAGTTACTAAATTGCCAGCTCCTTTAATACTCTTCTCCCAGACATCTGATTATTCAGAGTATACAAACATTCTAGCATTTCAGAATCCAGTGCTGTTGCTCTGCACTTCAGAAGCAGCAGTGAGATCAAAAGACCTTGAATTTGGTCAGGCTTTCTATGTAGCAAACCCTGGAGGTTTTAACTTCATTGAAAACCTGTCTGATTTTTTTTTTTTTTTCCCACAGCACAGTAACAGTTCAAGACATCCAAAAACACCTGTCCCAAGGTCACGTAGCCATTGTCCTAGTGAATGCAGTCTTGTTACTGTGTGATCTTTGCTCAAGTCCTGTCAAATACTGCTGCTTCCTACCCATTGGACAGAAGTGCTTCTGCAGGAATCCTGACTACCAGGGCCATTTCATTGTGTTATGTGGCTACAACACAGCCTCAGGGAGTATTTACTACAACAACCCTGCCTATGCTGACCGTGAGTAGCCTGCTCTTTTTGGGTGAATTCTCAACAACCTCATCACTAACATTTCCATAATGCAAAGCCACACTAATATGGACTTCCCATTTTAGCATGCATCACTTCCCATTTTTCAAACATCACTAACCAGTTTGTCAGAATAGGTTTTCCTACATTTATTAAATTAGTGCAGCAGTTTGTTCTGTAATTTACTTGAGGCACTGAGATGCACATTCTGGCAAACTGATAGAGGTTTGAGAGGTACTGAACTGTACCTTTGTGCTGAGTATAGCAAGATGACCAATTTAATACCTATTCACAGTATTTCTTCTGTGAGCAATGCCTTTGAGATGAGAAGATAAACTACAGTGAGTAAAGCTGTAACATAAGCTGATAAATCTAGTCAGTATATTAGTTAATTTTCTCTGTAGAGTCTGCTAGATCCAGAATAGGAGCCCCTCACAGGCATCTCCTGAATTTTTACTAACACTTTGTTCCTCTTTTATATAGGGACATGCTGCACCAGCATCAGAAACTTTGAAGAAGCCAGGAGAAGTTATGGCACAGATGAGGATATTCTGTTCATCTACACAGACAGCTGACACCCACAGCTGTTACTTCTGGTCCTTTCTGGTGCAGCCTGCACAGCAGCTGGCTGCTTGTCTCAGGACACCCCCTGCAGAGACCTTCCTCCTGAACTGCAGTGGGATCTTAAACAAGGGAGGCTTTATAGACATTGATAGGACTATACTGCAATGCTGTCTTTACCTTTTTATTCCGGATGAAAGATCTGATTTTGCAATGTATGTCACAGGTTTTTTTTTTTCCCCCTCATTTTTAACACTGCACATTTGACAGCAGTTTTGAAATACAGGCCCAAAGCCTGTTCACTTGGAGCTTATTTTCAAATTATACACATGAGGAAAAAAAGCACCAAATTTATGAACTTCAACACTTGGTAACAGATTTACTTGCAGGTTTAGGTAAACAAAAGCAGAAAAAAATAGACAATACCTGTTTCACTCTCTTTCAAAGCATCAGGGGCTGATCTTTATCCTTAGTCTAGGGATCTGAGGTTCAGCAGGGATTTATGAAACAAAGAAATGCTGATGTTAAACCACCTTACTTTCAGATAATGGAATTGCCTTGTTGGCTAATCAGTATTATAGGAGTGAAACATTTACTCAAGGAAACTTCCCATGTACAAAATTCAACTTGCACAGTTTTAGCATTTATAATAGCATTGGATTAAGTTTTGAATAGCTGTTACTGAGATTGTTCCCTTGCACTGCAAACTCCATCTCTTTTGGCTAAATATTTTTGGATGACTGTCTAGAGCTCTGTATTACCCCAAAAGTTTAAGTTACAATATTTGTTTGGACCTAGGAGCCTTCACTGCACTTTGCAAAATCCTCCAGACAATGTGGCACTCATATGTGCAATTTTCTGATGCACCCAAATCTAAATATACGTTTATGAAGCAAATACAGAAATCATCCACACACTAATAGTGTATGTTTTGTGTGTAAATTTTAAATAACAAGTGATACTAGATTGTAACTAAAATGCTGAATCATATTTTGAGCCAAACTTTCCTATTTATGTTCATTTAGTGAGCTTCTCAGAAGAGCTTAAATCAATTAAGAATACAGGGAATACAAGCTTCTTTTTGCTATAGTAACAAAAAACAAAAACAAAACTCATACTACAGCTGTATTTGGATTAAGTGGGAGTTCTGTTCAAACATTTTCAAGTGAAATTGTTAGTAGCCCATTCATAATCCTCTCATGTATTACCAGGGTTTGGTGACTGTGCTGAGGAGCACTGTAGAAGTGTGGAAATAGCCACATACTTCAGATTTGCCCATTACAATTTCTGACAGGTAGGTAAAATTGTTAGTACTCATGTACAGCTGGCAGAATTTTGTTTTGCACTTTAGCCAGAGATTTCACACCTTTGGCATGGCTTTAGGAAAGGAACTGTTCAGGTTTTGGAACTGCGTGGAATAACAATAAAGGGATGTTGTTATTTAGTGGAGGTAATACTTTCAGCATGAGAAAATTTCGAAGAGAAACCATCTTCTACAATTGCTGACTTACTGTAAAGTATCTGGAAAGCATGTAGGAAGTATGCATAGTAAAATCAAAAGCACTCCTTTGTACAGAAGCTAAAAAACAGCAACGTAAGTGTAAAATGCAGTAGGTTTTGAGAAGTTCTGAACAAAATGTACACGATAAGAAACTCACAGTGTATCTGATCCTGTTTTATCAGGAGTGAAGCTGGATTACATTCTGGCAGCTGTCCATGCAAAATGAATAAAAACTGGGATGTATCTGTGAGCAGCAGAACCACTATATTAGTAGAAACCCAGAAAATGATCAGAGTACAAATCCTAGAGTAGGTAACACCTTCTGATCCCTCCAACAGTAGTCAGCAGATGGCTACTGGTCTTGGAAATTTTATATCCATGTTCAAATTCACAATGTTTGGCTTAGAGGGATTGTATTAACTATGTTAATAATTAACAGCTATGTAAATTACAGGTTGATAAAAGTACTTTCTTAACCCAGGCATTTTCCTTCAGGTAGTCCATTCAGTAGCACTGAACTGCCACAGAATTTATTTTTTTAGAGCAGGCTTGGTTAGCAAAAAATAAAATAAAATTCTTACAAAAGATGTGTAACTGACATTAGCTTCCACACTTGAATCTTGAGCTTATGTATAAAACGTGAACTTAAGGGCATCCTAAATGGTCTGAAATGTACAGAATTGAAAATATGTAGAACCAAAGCTATTTAAGTTAATACAGATGAAATGAGAGCTCCACTCACTACAGCAGGATCTCCAATAGCCAAATGGAATATGGTAATGAGAGATGAAAATACAAGGAAGAAGCAGAAGGAAAGGAAAAAGGTGACTATTGAAATGACACAAATTCAGGCCACAAAGAAACTCGCTGGCCAAGTATCCAGAACACCTGCATTTTCTGGCACATTGTTTTCCATGGGAAGATCATCCATCAAAACACTCATTCTGAAAATGTGCAGTCAGTCACTTTGTTTCCTTCATGCTGTCCATAGCAAAGGAGGGGGGTATTTTACATGCAGGGATTTTATACATAAATATATTTTTATTTGTAATTAAGCCATTCTCAATAAAGGTTTAAAGTCATGGATAACCCTGTAGCATGATGTAGCAGGTGTATTTATTTACTGGTTTATTATTAAAAATGTTGGAAAATCTTTAGAGGGCATATTATATACTTAACAGGCACAGCTTAAATGGTTATTTGGCTTTCTGCTTTTTAGGAGATCAAATGTTTGATTCAGATATATATAATTGTATTCCTCCTGTACTTCCTGAATGCCTACTCCATCACTTGAGCTCTGCAAAACAAACTTTCATTATACACTAAGAATAGTCCCTGCATTAACTATACTGACTAATAGCATCTCTGTGGCTTTCCATTCACATGAGCTAGTGCTTCCATTTTTGTCTCACAGCACAGCACTGAGCTGCTGGATGTGTTAAAAGCATCTGCCTTCAGCCCTGCTTCTGGACCCTGGAGGAGGCCTTCCAAGGCAGCAGTCCAACTACAGCTGAAATATATATAGTGTGATAGGAAATACAAAGAACCAAAGTAGTGATGGTTCACAGGACACGCAGATCTCCAAACATCTAGGACATGTATGGGATGTTCTTTAGCTCTAGCAAAACTGCATTAAACGAGTGGCAATTAAAAACAAAGAAAGAAACAACCAAATAAAAAACCCAAGCAAAAAAAAACATGACAACAGTTTCTGTCTCCTTCCTCCTTAAATTGTGCATTTGGGTGGAGTGTATAAACTGGAAAGCAGAAGCAAACAGACACGTGCAACTCAACATATTAAAAAGCATGTGTAAAAAAATTTTTTTTATCTCCTCCCCATCAAACTATGCAACCCTGTACACAATACAGTGTGTGTGCAATACAAATGCCATCATCATTTGGTATCGATGTATTCTTCATTGAATAGAGTTCTAATAAGGAACGAAGTTGTAAACAAAAAAGAACTAACAAATGGAACCCATTTTGAAATTATTTTACTTCGCATAGTTTTGAACCTTAATATTTGCAGAGAATTAAAGTAACATGAAAATAACAACTTGTAATTCATAGCAAATCAATGCCAAGTTGTACCTTTTCATTTGCTATGTTCCATTTGATTGTATTGAGCTGATCTCTCTTACTCTCCGATTACGTTGGGTGTAAAACAAGGTTGGACTGCTTCAGCAAGCTTGTCTGCATACATTTCATATCTACCAGTCATCTGGAAAAGGAAATCAAAGCTTCAGTTCTGTTAGCTATGAAAGTATGTCTATAAAAAAGCAGTATCTACCACGTGTTGGTTTTTTAATGTAGGCCTATTATTTAACCGATTTGAATAGTAAAATGAGAATTCAGCCAAAAAAAGCAAATCCTCCAAAGTGAAAGCCCTTCAAGTCTGCTGACTTAAGGTTATGTTTTAACATCCTGCATAGCTGAAAGCTGAAGGTGAAAACCAGGCTTGCTTTTTCACTCATCAATAACAATTTGCTTTTAAGTCAGTTGTGTCAGGGATAGAAAAGGAGCATACCTGCAATTATGTCTTTGTATTATGTCCTTGACAACTGATTCACCCCACTGCCAGCAGTAAGTGTGCCTGTGTGTCACTGAGGGGGTCTGGTTTACACTCAGTTCATCCTTTAATAGCACGGAATATTGTTGATTTGGATGATGCAGTAAGCTAGGATACTGAGAGACAGCACTTTGCATTCTGGTATCCTCTTCCCAAGTGCACAGTCTGCAATGTGAACTGCTTCTTTCTTGCCAGCACGTAATGAGGACAACCTGTAGAACTATTTTTTTTGCTGATAAATCTTATCTGATGTGCTACTGATGTCCTGTTCAGGTTTCATTGGATGTAAATAGTAGATACTGGGACAAGTTAAATAAGTGCCTACATGCTACAGAAGGTTTTCTGCAGTGGATAAATGATGATTTTGTGCTTCCTCATTCTCCCCATATCAAATTACTATCTCTATCTCTGCCACAAATGAGAGTAAAATGATGTAGAAAACCCCAGTCATATAAACAAAAGCCACAGCTATGCCTCACGTGCCAAAAGACCAAGGATAGTAATGCACACCATCAACAGAAAACTGTAATGTGCTGAGAGCACAACAATTGAATTAAAAATAAAAAGAAAAATATCCTATACCACGCAGCTAAAGGTCAGTGCTTTGCTTTAACTGCTTTTACTGCTTTTTTTTTTCCTCCCTAATCAATACAATTGCTTTTGTTTGGATGCCCCTACAATGCTCCATATGCTTCCTGACACATCTCAGCTCTGCAAAGATAGCTTAAGATTTCAGTGGTAAAGCAGAACTAAATAAATGCCTGCATGACTCAGAAGCCTGGGGATTTCACAGCACAATTTAAGTCCATTAGGCCAACCATCTTATGTCTACCATCTGCAGAACATCACATGCAATTCTGTACAGAAAAGGACCTAAAACTACTTTTCCATTTAATGCCTATATACAGATGAGCAGCACTCACAGAGAAATTCGTCTCTAGCTAAGAAATGAATAACTAAAATGTCAACACTGCTTACAAATGATTATCTATCTTAAATAGTTGAGGTGAGAACTACTTAATTGAGCACTGCTGCTGGAGGAGGTACTCCATATTCACAGAACCATGGAATCATCAAGGACAGAAAAGTCCTCCAAGATCATACAGTCCAACCACCAACGTGATCCAAGTTAGCTTTGGTTGAGATTTCAAAACATCTAAACCTTGTTAAATCACGTAGAAAGGCTCACAACTGCCTTGATCTGGTTGAGATTAATTCAAAAGGGTGTCAGGATGCTTCAAAGAAACTATGCTTCTTTTTTCCTCTGTAGCATGGGCATGTCCCCACATCCAGAAAGTTACCACCGTAAGATTTCTGCACATTCATATATATATACAAAAGTCAATACAACTGACAAGAAAAGCCCAGAAGAATATAAACAGCTCCACATAAGGTCAGGTCAAGGGTCCATCTCAGCTCACTGGCAAATGATTATGTACACTGCATAAAAAAACTGCATATATTTCCCCTACTGGTCCTCAGAGCTTCTGGCAATCAGCTCTCGAGGACCAAAGGGTAAGCTCCTTACTTCAAGGCTATTGCCTTCAGGGAAACTATCCCTGAATTTGGCTATTCCCTTTCTGTATCCATTTATACCTTTAGCCTCCACAACCTCCTCCAAAACATTCAATTAGTTCCACAGTTTAAGCTGTAGGTTGCTGAAGAAAGGCTGCCTTTTACCAGTTGTAACACTATACTGCTAGGAAAGCTTGTTTGCTCTGATATCATACACAAATTTTTCTTAAAAAAATTCCTTTATAATTGGGCTTACCTTAAAATTCCATTTGTCACTGACTTGTCTGCAAAGATTTAGATCCATCTCTACAACAAGAAGTCCATCCTGAGTACGAGAGAGTCCTGGGGTCCTGCTGCCATCTGGTGCAGCTACGTAACTTGAGCCATAGAAATGGCCCAAGTCATGGTGTGCTTAAAGAAATTGTTTAACAAGCATGTAATGTTTGCAAATAACTACACAGCTTCGCATGCAGTTCCCCTAATACTTGGTTCAATTTCCTGTGGTCGTCCCTTTTGCAGTGCTTTAAGCAATATCACATCCCGAGCAGTTTGCAGTACAACCCTAAGATAACTGCAAGTTTGACCATTAGTTTTGTTTCATGCACAGTACAGCTTTCAAATCTATCAAACAAATATAAAAAAACCCTAACTGCATTGCTTCTAAATAATGCATGATGCTTTCCCATTACTAAGCCGCTGCACTAAATGCCTAAATAAATAAAAAAATGAAAGCAAGAACTTAATTGAATGCTAATTGTCAAATCATAAACTTCCAAAACAGTCAGAGATGCACACATTCAATTTTTAGTACAAGATCAGAGGTGAAAGCATGGAAATCTGAGGCAGGAAGAAAAAAGTACTTCATACTGTGCAACTCCAAACTGTGCCAACCATCAGCCACACACACTGCACCACTGTGTAATGGGCATCACCAACCTTGATGCAGCCACATCTCTTTCTTACTTATTAATTATAATCAGTTGGTTTTTTCTGGTTTCTCAACCAGTCCTTATTTGGAAGTTATGAAGAACAGAATAGAATCAGCCAAGAATATTTCTCCATGGAAAACCATTCAGACCTAAGTTTTTCACCTGTCATGACACCAATGTTGCTGTTAAGTCTCTGTTGTGTAATTATAAGCTTTTCTTTAACCTGCAACAGATTTATGAATTGGGGCAAAATAGCTTGGCTGGTGATGCAGGCTGGTGCTATTAAGGTTAATAATGAACAACTGGTTCATTTCTGGGATTTCTGTCTTCCAGTCTTCCAGTACTGCCTTGACTCCAAAACTTAGCCCTCTGCAAACATGTAGGAACCTTAGGAAAAAGAAGTGGTGACCACATCGGTGGTGTACGACCACCTGTAGTTGGAAGTGCTTCTCCACAGCTCACAAAGCAGCAGCTAACATAGCTGTCACGGGATAGACACTTGTAGGAGAGCACTCCTTCAAACTCTACACAACAAGTTATTAGCAAGCACTGCATGCAATTTCTGAACATACCTTCTCCACCATCCCCAGAAGTAAAGGCGTTTTTGTAGTATTCCTGTGAACAAGAAAGAATCCATAGGTGGCAGCAGAGATCCATTTCCTTCGAGGAAACCTCACTAGTCTACCACATCTACTGTGAAAGTTCATATGCATCTATTAAGACCTTCCTGATTATCTAAAGTGAGCCATCAGAGGGGCCTTGTTTCTATGGTGGGACTAGAGATAAATACATTTTTGTACCACTGTCTGTTGTTCACACATGTTGGGAAACACGCTTCATTACAACTCTAAGAAGGGCAAAAGAAGAAACATTTAATTAATCACACTCTCACAGGTGACAAAATGTGGCAAAGGTATTTGCATAACTGCAGGAACAAATCTGGATTTCTGCAAAGAGCCTTATAAAAGAACACAGAATATTCGGATGAATCCAAAGGCAGAAATGACCTGTTGTTTGCAATATTATTTCTGATTATAGCATTTCTGTGTCCAGAAGGAGGTAGGACCTGGATCACAGCAAACAGCAGTGAGCCCTGACTTGAGGATATGCCTCATCTTCAGTCCTTCTGGCTAAAACAATTGTCATGTTGCCACAGAAACTAGAGGAATTAGCAACAGGGGCGAGTGCTGATTACAGAGACCAGCTCCAGAGTAGAACACAGCTGCAACAAGTAGACTGTCAGCAACAAAGCAGTTCTCAATCACTGTAGCACTGCTCCTCTTCTTAAAAACACTGAGAGAAGGGGTTTTATACAGTAGAGGAATCAGCTGTTCTCATGCTATTTATTACCTTCAGCTGAACTGCTCCAAAATAGTTGAATTAAGAGATGAAATAAAGCTCAATACATACCGTTCCCACTCTGTTGATGGGACATGTAAAGCAGTGATTAGCTATGGCAGCATTTCGTGCTTCAATTGGCCACAGGGACTCACTGCAAAACACAGAAAAGAAGCCTGATATTCACTGTCTTCTGCAGAGACTGAGATTATGTGTACAGCATTGCACATCTTCTGTCAAAAAAGCCAAAGTTAGCTACCAAGACTAATCCTCCTCGATAATCAGAATCTCCTGAAATATACATAAAACCAAGATCTGAGAAATAAGGCATAAAACAGCTCCCTCTCTGTCACAAGCCTGCACCTATTTTCCAACAGGTGTTTCATTTCTGACTGATGTTCAGAGCAGAAACGGTCCTCTTTTTATTAAATAATTTGATAAACAGTTATCAGACTGAGTAATAGGAGGTCTGGAACTACTCAGAGCTCCAAAACAAAGGTGATGCCTTCAGTATACTCCTGACAGCATGCACCTGCCAGATTCTGAGCACTAAGACAGGGTACTCAAGGTGCAAGTACCTGTCATTAATCTCCCAGTCAGACTGAAGAATCTTACTTGAGAAGGTCATGGAACTGATTGAAAGGAGTTGCTTTATTGCCTTTTTTTCTCAATTGCTTTGAGTCTGGCAGCCAGCTCTTCTAAGAAAAAGGGATTTTATTGAAAAGCTCCAGCAAATTACAATTTCACAGAAGAAATCAGATAGGAAAAAAAGGCTATAGACAAGAAGCTACCCCCTGAGACACTTTTCTACATAGGTCTCAAGAGTCCTCTTCCTGCAATAAAAATTATGTGCTTAAAAACAATCAAGTGAAAGCCAATAATTAGGAGAGCCTGAAGCACCCAGAGTACCAATCAAGTGCTGCATGACGACAGGGTAATCTCTATTTGCTCTCCTCTTAATGGGATGTAAGTAGTCCAACATCACAAACATTATTCTAGTAGTGAAATGAATGCCCCAAAAGCATTGTGCATTCATGGAACTCTTTTCAAAGGACATTTTCAAACATTATGCAGCCTCAGTGAGATCCTATCTTTTACACTAAAAATTACCAAGGGCAGTTTCAATGACAGGCAACGAAAGCTAGTTGATACCATACTTACTGGCTTCAGGTGAAGGATGCATAATCACCTGGCCAGCCAAACCTGACTGTAAATTACTACAGCCTATCATAAGACAAAAATATTATGTAGCCAGTCTAAATGTTGTTAGCTTTCAGAAGACCAGATGGAGAAGAATGCAGAATCCTTCACGAAGGCAGAACATGAAGGTGGTATTTCTGATTCCAAGCCCTCTGCAAAGTTCCCCTGAGACTTCAGTGAGGGGCTTGGAAATTCAGATAAATGAGAAATTATGTAACAGCCTAAAGCAGCTTGTCTGTCACCTGAGCGTTCCGATGGTGGCTGAAGGGTTAAAGATGATCTCTGCTCCATTCAAACTGTACATGAGCCAGTTCAGGGGGTGATGGCGCCCGAAGCAGATATTCACAGCAATTGTTCCAAACTGTGTCTGAAATACTGTGTGTCCTGTATTTCCTTCCATGTAGTAAGTAGACTAGGAAAAAGTATAAATAAATACATAAATGGATCCAAAATCAAAGGCAGACTTCTTAAAAAAAAAAAAAAGAAAGAAAGACCTCCAACATTGCTTTGCTACATCACAGCTTCCAGTCACCAGCTTCAAGTTATGAGACCACAAGCAAGTACAAAACTTTTCATTTGGTACTCACTGCAGTGAGTAGTCAGCAAGAAGTGGCTCTAAGACCTACTGAGATGCAATTCAAGGCCCTTTCAGCCTCCCTTCATAGTACAACCTCAGCACTGTCTGACTTACACCTCAAACTAGAAGCATTACAGAATTCTACAGAAGCTCGAAATCAACTCACATACTGCCAAATTTGAGGTACATCTCTTAGTGCTCCCACCACATAACAAAACCTGCCAAAGTCATTACAATCCTCTGAAGTCTCATTAGAAAGAGAGAAGATATGCACTGTTTAAAGATCAAGGAATTCTTTTACTTTCATCTGTTATGTAATAATGACACGCGACATTTCTGTGAATAGCCTAGGTAATATCAGTGTATGGCTAAGATCACTTATTTACATTTCCTATATGATAGTTGCTAACAGGTGGTTGGGAAGAACTACCAGGAAAATCACAGGATAAATCCACAAAACACTCCTTAAAGAAACTGGAGCCAATTGCTGGCTTAGAAGATCTCATTTACCATATGCTGCAAGATTCTGTCTTATAACATCAAACATCCCCATGCAGTAAGATATGAGCCAATTCCTGTAAAAGACACTGTTGAAGGCAAGGGTAGGGCATCATTAACAGCTATCAAGAGAGACAAACTCTAAAGGAAACCTCCAGAAACAGACACAGGGGAAAGGAATGTGTGGAGTTACTGAAAGCTGCCTGCTTAGTGTACAGTGGTAATCAAAAACCCAAGAAAATCTCAGGCATCTGAAATGTAGAAGAAAACACAGGATTGCTGGTTTACATGAATTCTCTGTGCCCACAGCTTGAGTAGGCTGGGCAGTTCCAGTGCTTCCATCTCAGTGAGGATATATTAGAGATGGAATAAGCCTGAAATGACAAAGGGAATGGCACAGCTGCCTTTTGAGGAGCAACTATAAAGGCTGCACCTCTTTGATCTGCAGACAGAAGGCTGAGGGTGATTATGAATGAGATTTACAGCTTCACAAAGGCAGTGGATAAGATGAATACAGAAATCCCAGAAGAGCAGCAGCAGCCACTGAAATAACACTCGTATCTGATTTAAACCAAAATAATTACTTTTAAGCAGCTGGCAGAACACTTATAGAATGTGCTTCTACCAGTTTGTGAAAGCAGGGAGCGTCAGCAAATTCAGAAGGGATTAGGAACTGATAAAAGATCCACAGATAAGAAACAGGAATAGACAGGAGCACTCTAACACCCCTAATATAATGTCTGTGGATACTGGAAATGTTGAAGAGAGCAATTATTACAACATCATCCCTTTGTGATGATTTCAGAGACAGCAAAGAGACCATAATCCAATAGTTTGACACAGCGAGGTGTGGCTCTTACCATATGAGAAAGGTGCACTGTAAAACAGTTTTTATTGAGACTGTCCACTGTACCAACTGCTGCCTCTGATACTGAAGGAAACTGAAACACAACATCTGACCCAACATGAGTAAGCACAGTTACTGCCAGGGAACAACCAGGGTCTCACCTAAGTGTGAGAGAATGGCATGATGGAAGTGGTGAAGAGTCGTGTTCTGAAGGAAAGGTGGAATGGATGCTCACTCTGCCCAGTAAATGGGACAGGCTCTGGTTTCTTATCAGCTCTCCTGAAATCACGCAGCCCCTTGGGCACAGATTTCATCTCCTTTCGTGTGCTTAGAGAGCATGCCATGTGGTGGGCACTCACGTAATCCTTTCTCAAAACAATTCTGCCAATTGAATATATTTCCATTTTTTTTTTCTTCTATTCTCAGTTTTCCTTTATTACAAGAGGAGAAGAAAAACAAGAATGTTATTGCTTCAGGGAATTCATCAGTCCTTATTCTTTATTCTCCACCAGAGGTCACAATCATCTCCACAGCAACAAACGGTGATGTCTCAAGAAGGATTGATTTTTGTTTATTTATATGTCCTCCCACACGAGGCGGAATAGGTTAGAGACCAATCTCTTTCCCCCGTCCATTTAGTTCTCACTGATTCATCAAGGATGATCTTAACAAGGATCCTTTCCCAATCTGCTCCACAGAGACAAGCCATAAAAAAAAAATCATTTCCAATTCAACCCTTCCTTAGGGTTAGCTTTGCTGATAAAGAACAAAACATCAAAACAACAGAGCTGAGCATAATCTTTCCCCATAGTCTCGTCTGATGCTAAAATTCCTCTATCAGATTTGCTCAGCTCAAAAGAAAATGGCCTTAATGCTCTTCTAACAAGAAATGTCGAATCATTATAGTGAACTGGCAATATAATAGATTGCTTTGAGTTCTTTAATTTAGAATTATGCAAAACACTCAGTGAAACTCTATTTATATTTTACGTGGAAAAGTAAAAGTAGTTTTTAACTTTTAAAGTGCCTTTCTTTCATTACATTTTCATAGCTGTAAACATGAATATTATTGCAATCTGTTGATGCTCCACAACCCACTGTCTAGATACTGTTTTGCTACAAGGCAGCTCTGATAAAATAATAAAAATCAACATAATAATTAAAGTTTGAAGCCAATGCTGGTGATTGACAGAGTCGTGCCAGAAATCCATTGTGAGGAAACCTATTAACATCCTCCTCTGAAGAAAGCCAGAGCAGTCCGACCAGGCCTAGAAGAGCAGGTCAACTTCCAGAGGTTTTTGAATACCAATTTTCAAGATAAAATAACTTTCAAAATAAGTAAGCCTCGATTCTGAAGCCTCAGTCCAGTGCACTCAGGCGACAACATCAACTGTAAGCATCTGCACAGCAGGACTCTGAAGAAAGGGCTCTGTTAATCACTCACTTTAGCTGACAAGGAGAGATTAAGTGAGGTAAGACAATGTATTTTTAGATTTTTGGTTAATTTTTAATCCTGATCTTTCTTCTGATAATTCTTTGGATGGATAAAGTCATTTCAGATCAGTCAGGTTCTTTCGACATCGCCTTCACTGGGTTAGCTTCTGTAGCTGATTCTGGTGAAGAGCCTTAAAAACTTGTGTGGGCTTCAGTGGAAGTAATGTGACTAGTGAACAGAAGGTGCCATAAACCAGAAATGCAATAAAAAATGTAATGAATTAAGAGATTCCACTGAAAGAAACTGAATAACTGCAAAAGAACTGCAATTTCCATGACAATTCCAGAGAGAATGAAAGATCAAGACCACAAATAATGCTCGTGCATGAATCATGAGACAAATGCTCTCCAAATTAAAGCAAGTTTGACATGCTTACAAGTAAAAACTGAGCCAACCATGCACAGCTAACATAAAGAAGCTGTGATTAAAAAAAAAAAAAAAAAAAGTTAATTTTTAAAGGATCCTCAATTTTTTTGTGGTTTCCATGAGGCGAAGAAGAGCATATGGCACAGATTCAAAGTTTGTGCTTTAACAGTCATTGTACTCTACTTCTGATAAATTATCTTCATATATTTTTACCCGAGGAAAAAACATTGTGATGCTTAGCAAACCACATTTTCTAGAACTACGTCACATTTCCTGCCAATAGGACTGATACAATACGTGGTGACACAAACAAGAGCTGCATGGTGAGACCAGCTTGACGATCACACTACTGCACCTTACCTCATTAAAATCTCCAACTCTCGGAATGTGGTTTTTCCTACTTTTGCCAAGGAGAGCTCCTGAATTAGAAATGACCACTGCAGTATTCCACAGAGTTCCTCCATGTATTTCATCTCGCTCCAGGATTGGAGACACCACAACCATATTGTACTTCTTTGCCAGCTGCACAAACGAACACAATTCCTCTGTTACACGCAAGCCTGAGATAATGAATTATTTTCACTTGTGGTTCATAAAGAAGCATTCAAAGAAGTTTTTCATCTTGTGCATTGTTTTGACTGTTCTGAAGTGCTCATGCTTAACCCACAGCAGCATGCCAGTATTGCCATAGCTTCCTTCATCAAAGATGGGTACATCAGAGTGAGCTTTCCACCTGAATCCTCCAGCTAGAAATACAAAGTGCTCAATGCATCTAACTGCAGTGCTCAAGCCATGGAGCTGAACTGAATCCATTCACATGGAGATTGATCCCACTCCCATTCTTTCATTCTTGCATATATTTAACACAACAGCTAGCTGAAAACTATTTTAAAAATATGGAAACATTTCAAACATTGTTACATACAAAAGGTTAATGTTAAGGAACATTATATAGAACATATATATGTATAAGAACATATATAGATGCAAGTAAGACACAGCCCCTTCTGCCAGTTTACTAGCATGTTGTCACCTTTCCTTCAAACCTCTCATCTTTTTGTATTTATCCAAATTAAAAATACCTGGATAAAAAAAAAATGTATAACATTCAGGAACAGTCAAATGGGCAATTTCATACACCTCCCATGGCAAAAGGCAGATTGGTTTAAAAAATAAATATGGAGCACAGCTGTGGTTGTCCATGTCTTCACAAAGAAGCTGAAAACTGATTTCAGGGTATTACAGATTTCTTATAGTATAAGAAGAAATCTAACCTAATCAGTGGTGGTTACAGATGGATGGGGAAGCTGGGATGGGTTTGAGGCCATTTGTTCATTTTACCTCTTGACAGAACTTTGTTGTCATCCCATCCTCTGCTGACTCAGCAAATTCAGTCCAAGGAAGCTTCTCTCTTGTACAAAAAGCAAAGGGCATGGCTGGAAAACATGAACGCATGGCAAACTTTACAAGAGTGTTCACGTCGCTCAAGAAATACAGAGGTGTTTCTGTTTCCATGAATACAGATAAAAATCAAACACTTCCAAATGATTCAACTGTTTTCTTTGTTTAAAGGAAAAAGCTATTTAAAAATATTTTTAGCAAGGATGAGGAGTTTTGGACCCACACAGACCAAAGCAGAAGAGAAACAATGAGCTTAGTGAATACAGTCCTACTGGAAGCAAAGACCCAAAATAAACCCCTGTCATCAGGGAACACTTTCTGTGAACCACCCGTCTTCACAATTTAGACCTACATTTTCATTCTGGCCTCCAGAACCCACTTAGCCTCAAATACTCTGCTTTAATTAAAATTAGATTTATTTATTAATTTTTCAAGTCTCTGTCTAGATGAAACAAAGTTTTAGAAGGAAAAATATGAGGAAAAGATCACAAAGGGTAACACGATGCATGCCTATAAATATCACCATTGTAGCAAATCCAGTCTTCAGCACAACAGACTTCACGGATATACTCTATATAGTTCTGCCAACAAAGATTCTTTGTTTTGTGTGGGTTTTTTTTTTTGTATTTCTTTTCTTTCAGAAATCAAACCAGTAACATTCAACTGTTATACTGGGAAGACGTCTGCTGTTTGCTTAAAAGACATAAATCCAGTACAGGATACCTGTTGAAACAGAAGGAATGTGACCTCTGACAATCTACAAAGAATCACAGCAAATACTCACTCCAAGCCTCCTGGAAACAAATGATGTTGACCCCACACATTGCAGCTACTTCCACAATCTCCTCAATTCGTCTGTGCAGTGCAGCCACCTAATTGCAAGAAGCATCATGCTATAAAAAAATCTTGTAATGTAACTCACTTGTGCAGCAATATCCTGGTTTCACAAACTTTGTTCACTGTTCTATACTTAGTCCATTTGCTTTCAGAGGGAATAACTCAAAAAGTCAACATTCCTAAGAGAATTGGGATCTAAAGAGCTGGATATAGATTATTTTTTTTTTAGGCATTTAGATGCTGAAAATAGAAAGAGCCAGCTACTAGAATCCTAGTTCCATGGTTACAACACCTAAATATATGACACTTCATTGCTGACTGCCTAGTAAATGGGTAAAAATTTGAAAAGAATCAGCAAAAAAATGTATTTTTATTGGTCACTGTAAACAGAAGAGTGTTATGTAAATCTGTATTCAAAGTCAAGTGCTCAGAAACCTAAAACAGGAGGTAAGCACAGTCAGTTTCTGCAGTTACCTTTGAATTCTGCTGACACGTGGATCTCGGACATTCTCTATGAGTTATTAACTCCAAGCTATTTTTTCAGTCCCTCTATCCTCTGAGTTAAGTAGATCATCACCAAGATAAAACATCAAAGCACTTATTAATTAGTCAAAACACATTGTTTCAAAGTGTTATTTTCTTTCAGTGTTCTTGTTGAAGATAAGCATAGGTGTTGTGCTTTGTATTGACACTTTCATGTGTCAAACAAATGAATACCACACAAGTCAGCAGTGACCTACAAACTCAGCAGCTGTACAGCTATTTAAATAGTTACCTACTTGTTGCTAATGGAAAATCATTTACAAAACTGGTACCTTTTTCATAGCTGCTGCAAAGTATCCACAAACACGATCTACATCCCAAATTATCAGTTTGCTCTCACGACAAAATAAATTGCCTTGCAGGTTCTGTCCTATTGGTGGACAAAACTGTGATCCTATGAGATGTGATAAATGCTATATTTTCCTTTAATTTCTCTGTATATGCATCATCTCCATGCTTTCATGTCCATGATGTTGGTTCAACATGTAATAACATTTGGTTTATTGCTGGACAAAGAATGATGCACAAAGATTTATTAATCCATATTGGCTCTAATGGAAAGGGAACGCTTTCCATTTAAAACAAGTACAGCACTGTGGTTTTCACGGGTTGACACCTCTTTTGGTTTCAGGTAAACCATTTTTCTGTTTCACTTTAGAAGCAACGTCTTTTCATTTACAAAATCTGCGATTAAATATTTAGCTTTGGAAAAACTGCATGCAGGTTGGGCAATTCACTGGGTAAACACAACAGGAGAGACGGTTCTGAGAAAAAACAGAGCTGCATGGGTCACTCAGATTTCTTACAGTGTGTTGTATTGAGACAGTGATGGGTCCTACGCTGCCAGACAGCCAGCAGTCATTTTGTGGTGGAACTGTAATATCAACACCCAGTAAAAATAAGAGGTACGTGCAAACAGCCTGAGTACCTGCACTGCCACAGCTGTGTCGGTGGGAAGAGGAATTTTGTTCTGCACCAGCCCTACTCGAACGATACGCGGCCTTCTCAGTTGCTCTGCAGCAGCATCAAATCCATAGCCCTGGAGTTCAAAATCTCTCTGTTGAGCAGATGATAGAGCAGCCGCTGGCAAGCTAAGTTTTCTGGATTGAAGATGAAACAAAGACATTTCAAGATAAGATGCACTCCTTTTCTGCAATGCAACAGACCAAAACGATCGCACGTGTCACCTTGCCCTGCGAAGACGTTGCTGTTCCAAGCTCCTGTGTCACACAGCTGTCAGATAAGGGAAGTCAGGCAGCAGCCAGGTCGTGTGTGACCTCAGCTCCATGGCAGCAAATTCTCAGTCCTTCCCTCCATATTTGTGCTTTCCAGACATTGCTATTTACTACAGAAATCAAGGAGCGCATGCATACAGACCTCTCTACCTACCCCTGTAGGTTACGTGCGCTTTCCCAACCTGTTCTCCCTCATGTCAGACCCCCACTTTTAGAATCATAGCATCAAGGCTGGAAAAGACCTCTCAGATAACATTACCTCACTGCAAGGTCACCCTTCTTCCTCCCTTCAGCCCACCCACCCTCACGCTGCCTCCCCTGACCCCCAGGCTGCCCATCCCCAGCAGCACACCTCGTCTCACCCCCATAGAGGATGCGCTTCACCTCGGCCAGGTCGGGGGGTGGGATGTGCCTCTCCAGGCACGACTCCAGTGACTCCAGCTCTCCCTCCATGTCCTGGCTGTTGGGCACACACAGAGGTTGTCGGGCACGCAGCCCCTTGGACTTTACCCTTGCTGGGTCCTGGTGGCCACTCCCCTTTCTCCCCAGCCTCCCCACTATGGTGGCCCAGGGGGGGGTTGATGCCCTCAGGTTGTCCAGTGGTTAAACCTGAGGTGCCCCAAAGGGTTAAAGAAGCATGGATGTGGTCGTGCCAGGTCACTTCTCACTTCTGGGGCAGCTCCACAGCCTCAGAAATAACTAATCTAAAAGAAGAACATCTTTAGGAGCTTTTTATGACGACAGCATTCAACAAAAAGGCTTAGAAATAGGAAGGAGATCATAAAATGACAATAGTTTTCACGGATGTGTGCATGCCCATTTTAGTTGCAGCGAGACTCTGATCGTGAGCCAGGAGTAAAAAAAATAATTTTGCCCTCAAGATGGATTTGAGATTCAAATGTCATCAGAAAATCATCCCCAAACTGCAGTTAATGTCCAATAAAGGCTAGAAAACGTTAAGGCCTGGATCTAAGAGAAGAAAAGAACACCTGAAGAGAAACTGCATGAGCCCCACAGCCACCCTCCTCCTACTCATGGTCTCTGCAGCACTGGCCATTGCATCTCCTTCAAAATGTTACTGAAATGCAGAATATTGGCACTTCATTGATTGAAAATAACAGCTACCGAGCCCAGGAATGGGCCACACACATCTTGACACATCACACCGATTATAAGCACTGCTTTTTGAATCTTCTAGAGGATATAACAACGTTCAGCGCTGCACATCTACAGCTGTTTGCTGTTCTCAGTTAAACATTAAGCCCTTTAGGCCAAAAAAAGAATAACGTGGAGAGAGTGTCTAATATTTAACTTTAAACAGAAAGTGCACAGGGACAGTCGGGTGTCATCACGGCATTCTGAGATGTGACTGTGCCTTTTTTAACCCAAACGGTGCAGCGATGCTGATGGGGCACAGGGCATCTCACTGCTGCTGTGAGGGATGGGGCTCCTTGAGGCAGAAGGCCTTGAGGCCTTCAGTCTTTGGGGGGCATTTCCAAGATCAGTTCAAATTAGGGACGACAGCACATTAAAAAACAAAAGAATGTGAAAGAGAAGAAATGCCATCATTTGAAAGGAAGGGCGTTTAAAAAAGCCTGGATAACCAGTCTGTTATGTTACTGTTTGTCCTGCAGTCATTGGTGTAGCACTGTGTCTGTTTTTGTGACCAAGGCCTCACAAACCTCTTCTTAGTGATTACCTTCCAGTCCCAAACGTACTTCTGCAGAGCAATAGCAAGCAGAGACTGACAGTTACATGGTGTTTTCCATTTGATGATCTTAATTTGCTTTAATTTTAAGGCAATGTATCAGTAACATTTTGTTCTCTTCGTGGCTGGCAATTCTTTAAACATTACCGAATGAGATAGCAATGCAAAAATTCAGGGAAATTAGGAAACCAAATTAAGTTTATTTCCCTATCAGCATACTCAGGATGTCAACTAACAAATAAAGCATTTCTGGAGATTCGTAGGAACAAACAGAAGGGCCTGGGTTTCTTTGGGAACTATTCAAATTCTTTTCAGCCTGGACTGCAAATTAAAAGAAAAAACAGCAGGTCTATTTTGTATCCAGCTCCTGAAGAAGGTCACATAACTGAACTTTTCTCTTCCAGCTTCTATTCTTAGTGTGAACTTTCACTGACTTGTTTGTTTGTAATTTGTTAAAGCGTGCTACATGTAGGAAATGGACTTCGGGGCAATAAAACTGAAGCCCCTGAAAAGAATACTCATGAACAGTCTGAGATCTGAAAAAACAGTACATTTCCTGTGCGCCGTATCAACCATCCTGCAACAACACAGCCAAGTCCAGACTGCGTGAACAGGAAATGACAAGCCTAGAATTACTAATAACGATGAAAGGAGATCAGGCTATTCCATAGGGACTGTGCGTATATAAAGGTATAATTCCAGCCAACACAATAAACCTTCAAAGCATGAAATGTTAATGTTCATCAGGAAAGTAACCTAATAAAGGAAGATGCTTTCCGTATCCCAGACAAAGCATATTAGAGAGCCTGGATCTAAATCTGAATGTTCCACCTTGGTCATTGCAATTACCTGCTAAGTATGATGCTTGAATCCAGAGCTCAATTCTGGTGTTGACTTCTTCAAGTCTCCGTATTTACACTTCTTCTCAGTGCTGCATTACCAGGACCAAAGAATTATTTTGCAAAAAACAAAGCTGAACCTTTTAGCAACCTTTCATATTCAGCCTATGAAGAACTGGTTTGGAAGAAAACACATTTTAAGAATCAGAAATATTTTTTGTAACTAAGGGAAATTTCCTACAAAACACTTCATCTCTATTGCCCTCAGGGTGGTCCACAAAGTCAGGCAAAGATTTCAGGCCCACACGGGTGTTGTGTGCAGTTTGTCTGTGTTTCTGTGATGCAGCCCTGTGCTGCAGTTACCATCTCAGAGTTAAAACTGGGTTTGATAACACTGGATCATATGCTCTGTGCCGTAAGGCTGCTCCCAAGAGTTCCTGTAAAACCCCACAATAGCACCCTGGCATTAGTCAGAAGCACTCTGGGGGATGAATTTAAGAGCCAAATATCTAAAGTTCAGGCTAAAGCTGGGAAAGACCCAAGAAATGACTTAAACAAACAAAGTGTCTCCACTGTAACCCAAGATAGGAGTAAAGGCTAAACAGCATCACATATCAGAGCTGGTGGGCAGGACTTTCTATGTTTGTAATATGTACATACACTCTCTCTGAAGCGCTCAGCTTTTTACAAACTCTGCTAATATCATGCAAATCATGTTTCCAGACACTTTCTTCTGCTGCCATTCCTTTAAGTGGGTCACACAAAGCTCCCCAGGGTAGCGAAATAAATAAACTGTGTCCCAAATGCAAAAAGGGGACAATCTGTCTCAGACCGTGCATGGGGTCATGCTGTTTGTTAACAACACCTACCAAGGGATTTAGGTGGACGTGGATCCAGGCATGTCCTGCAAGGCCACATGATATTGATGGCCTGTCTAAACTTGCTTTCTAGACACTGCAACATTCTTCAAAATGACCTTCTACGTGTTCCTTTCCTTGTGATCACAAAATAAACTACCGAGTTGTAGTGCAAAAAAGAGCTCTACGTTGCTTCTCCTCAAACACAGATCCCTTTGGTTTATATAGAGATAGAAAGCAATTATCTTCAGAGATAACCGATTCAAAACATTTCAAATGCAAGTAACAGGCCATAGAGGGCAATTAGTAAGGTTGCAAGAAAGGAAACCTAAAATATAGGGTGAGTTTCATGCTACTTAATACACAGCTACAGGAAGGAAGGCAGTTGGTAAACTTCCTTGCTGTCCTGCTTTGGGTTATACACAGATACAGTCAAGATCCAGGGGTGCTGCAATGTAGGAAAATCAGAATTCTTTGTTTTGAAGTCACTCGTGTATCAGGATTTCTTGGTACTGCTAATTTTTGGTTTTGCCTTTCGTTTTGCTGGGGATAATTGGGCTGGGGGAGCTTTGCAGTGCCCACACACAAAGAAATCTTTTACTAATTCTACTTAAATCTTTAGAAGTACTCTTATCAGTTTTATAAATGGGCCTGGATGCATATTTAATTCAAAATGGAAATAAGGATTTTGAGATGGACAAAAAATTAGGGTCTGCATTTGGATTCTCTCACCTTTCCCGTGGACTAACAAAGGTACAGTCACCCATGGAGCAGGAGAGCCAAATTACAACCCTCATGTAGTTGGCCTCATCATCTGTTCTTGGCTTCCTGCCATTCTGAAGGCTGGTTGAGGGGAAGCTGCTGAAGAATGGAGGAAGTTCAGTGTTGACAATACGTTTTGTCTGCTCTCTGGCATGCCAGGGACCAAAGGAATCCCTAACCTTGGCTGGGGGGCAAAATGTAGGTTTGCAGTCATTTTGCTTGCCTCCCTCCCTTCGATTCAACAAGAAAAGATCAGCTCACAGTTATCACAGAATTAACCTACGTTTGGAAGAGATCTGTTGTTAGCACTACTGTCTTTTTATCAAGAAACACTCTGCTTGCCTGCTGTGACTAAATCACACCTGGAAATGCATCTGTAAACTAGAAGAGAATCACAAATCGACCACTTTGGCTAATGAAAAAATTTCATTCTACCCTCTAATATGTCTGCCTCCCTGGCACACAGGAAGTGCATTAAAGAGATAATAAACACTCATGAAACACATTTAATGACCTAACATTTAAGAGCAGCGCTCTCTTTCATTCCTGTAACTTTCTGCTAAATTGTCACCATCAAGATTGCTCATGGGCTCAAAAGGTCAGTGTTATTTTTGCTGTTGAAATCACAGAGTCTGGGAAACAACTGTGTGTAAATTGCTGATAAACTGGAACAAAGACGGAGGAGAAAAACACTGAACATGTAAGAATGCAAGTAAACCAGCAGGAAAGGAGGGGAGGGGAAGAATCTCACGGACAGTTTATTAAAAGAACAAAAGAATAAAATCTGGTGCATTTGTTTTCCACTGGTGCAGGAAGCCCGGTCCTTAAGCACCTACTATAAATAGAGTGCTCTAATCCTTCATCAAAGCGGGTAGTAGTCTACAACAAATGAATGAATTTTAGGTATAATCTGGGAAGAGGAAGATGCCACTCCCCTCATAGTAGAAGAATCTTTGTCTAAATTCTTACAGAAATTAGTTCTTTCGTAGCGTCAAAGAGCTGGGGAGACAAAGCAGGGCCTGGAACTTGATGTTTTGCACTGCGAGATCCTCAGCAAGAATTTTGTTAGAGAATGGAATGAGCAGTCGTCTACATTAGGATCAAATAATCAGTTTTTGAGAAAGATTAACTTGAATCTACTGCGTGGCAAACCTGAAAATCCCCAAGGAGTTCCATGCTGAGTGGAGGCTGTAGGTGAGCTCTGTACACTTTGGAAAGTGTTCAATAGGGCTGATAGGAATAGCATACAGAAAACAGTAGGAACTTTGAAAACATGAAAAGGACAATCATCAGTCATTTAGCTGTCTACAAAGGGGGGTGAATGGAAAGTAATCCCAAATATTCACCTCAGAGCCATCCAAAGTCAAAACAAATGTGGAATACAGGAGACTTACACTGCCATTGAGGAAAAAAACAAATCACTGAAAAGAATTTTGGGAGACAGAATGTAAATTGTTATTAGGTGGCCTCAAAGCCCTAACTCTATAGGCAAGCAGTTCTGGCTAAAAGTTTGGCCAAATGACTCATTGCTTTCAATTGTGTGGGCTTGGGTTTGATGCTATTCAAATGAACTCAACAAGGAAATCTGTTCAACTTGCCCACTGAACCAGATGCTTAATGGATAAATTCTAGAATAGGCACAGAATATTCTTCCAGCAGTCAATAAAGAGTGGGAAAAGTGGCTTCAGCTGAATTTGTCCCATGAGTTGATGTATACCACCCAGCAGACAGGAACCCAGACTCAAGATTTTAGGCATTCAGAAGCTTTATGTACAGGGTCATACATTGACACCCAGTTTGCAAACTTCTGCTTCGGAATAACTTGATCTACTTTGAAATTTACTTCTGAGTAAACAGCTTCTTGTTCCACAATGGGAGTATGCATACATTGTGCTAATCAGAAGTAATATTCCACTTAAACTGCAAACTTTACTGCAATCCAAATCAGTTGCCCAGTGTAAACAAGTGCTTTCTTCAGAGAAAGATGACAAGCATGACAACTTTTAAGGGCAGCTCATGGAGGGGAGATTGTGAGGCCTCAATGGCACATTTGTGTAAGGAAGGCCAGTATCTCTGGCTCACAGCAACATGTGAAATCAGGAAGATAGTTGCAGCTGCATTTGGCAGAAAAACAGTAGTAGCCTAAGCTTGACACTATAAATGATGGTTATTGAACCAGCGTCCTCATGAAAAAGCTAGATGTTGGCAAAAGGGCATGAGGAAGACAAAACAGAAGCTTAATTAACTTAACAGGAAAGAAAAATCTCCTAGATAAAAGGAAGAGAGCCATTTCTGAGCCAAGTACTTAAAGGGTTCTCAGAACTTCCCAGGCCAAAGACTGTGTGTGTGTAATGCTGACTTCCTTCCAGCTCTGTCTGTGCCAGAAATAACTCTTCAATGGAGTATATCTCATTAGTGTACCTTTTACCAAGCCATTCTTTCAAAAGAAAGCGATACTTGCTGCTGACACGCTGCTGGCAAATGAGGAAGAAGGAAGCTGCTTTTATGAAGAGTGTAGCACATTCCTCTATCCCTCTGCCCAAACACATACACATCTGCTGACTTGTAATGGCATGAGCTAAAAATTGTATTGAAAAAAATAATAATGAGAGAAAGAAAGAGGCAGAGAAAATCTGCAGGGACCAACATGAGGGCTGACTGGCCTCTTCAAGACATCAAGGCAACTTTAGCATCTTTCAAAGACCCTTTTGCAGCTTGTATTGCTGATGCTGCCTTTCAAGTCATTATGTTCTTGGCCACAGAAGGGTGAAACTAAAGCCATTTACTATGAATGTCACATAAAACCCTGAAACTTGGCCAGCTGGGTTGTAAGTACAGAACTTACACGTTGCCTGAAGATAATACACAACCCTTCACCCAAGAGAAGCACTGAGAGAAACATACAAAACATACTATCTATATGCTAATGCATCCATCCACCAACTAGCTGTGGTCTGCTTGATGCATTCCAGTCCAGGATCTGAGCTTTAATTTAGGAATAAAAGTGCATTTCTATCTTTCATAGTTTCAAAGAAAATAATCCACCCCTGAATAGAACAGAGCAGCTGAAATGGTACCTGCTGAAGTCTGTGAAGAACCTGAAATGAAAGATCTGAGAAGAGCAGTTATGTTCCACCTAAGTATCTCACTGGGCTACAAAACTGGGCTGCAAAACTCTTTTGAGGCTTTTTGAAGAAAAAATAAGATAAAAAGTGCATGTTAACTATTTCATTGTTAGACAGCAGTCTAGGGATACTGGAAACTAGAAACACAAAAGCTAATGGAAAGAAAAAGAAGGAAAGGAGGAGGATTTACTGGTAGACATAGCTTTCCTGCTGAGCAAAAACTAATATGCCAGTAATTTCTAAGGAAATTTCTAATAGTAGCTCTAGAAGAGCTTTTTGTTTGGTTTCAGGTTGTTTCTGTTTGTTGGTTTTTTTGGTGTTTTTTTTTTTTTTTTGGCTTACCAGCAAGACTCCATACAGGACCTTTGGTCCAGCCTCACAGAGGAGAATTCTGTGAGTTCAGAGGAGAAGACTGTAGTGAATTTATAATCCCAAGTATCATTAAATATGGAATTTATTCTTTTCCTGGAATGAGTGGGACGCTCCTCCCACAGACAAAAAGGGGATTTTATCTTTTTTCTTGTACACAGAAGTC